CGTGTGGCGGCCCGTCCACGCGCGTCGGGTACCACTCGGCCTCCGCTCTGGTACCGTGTTGGTTGTGACCCCAGTTGGCTGACTGCAGTGTTGGTGAACTGCTGCTGCGGTTGTGCAGGCTCAAAGTGGTCGCAGAACACAGCTAATGTCGGGCAGTCAATACCTTACTCGCAATATGTTTTAATCCCGCAATCCAAAGAGATGCGTGACCGGCACCAACAACGCGATCTCTTCGCGTAGTGAAGCAAGCGGAATCCGCTTGTCCTTGGGCTGTTGTTCTGAAATGCAGCAATGGTTTCACTTCATGGCCATTGAGACAGATAGAAAGACAGAAGACCAGGCCGTCACGAAACAGTTTGCAGAGTAATAATTCAGCAAGCATGCTCTCTGTAGGGGTAAATCTCCTATTACCGCCGTTGTAAACCATCAGCCAACAACTTTGTTCTATCGTTCATGCTCTGCATCAACTAGCAGCCAAGATAATAATGATCCAAATCTGATGGCAGCAAAGCGTTGACATCTTAGCAGGTTAATATTGCATCTTCCATAACGTTCTGACACCGGAAATAAGGGTTTATATTCATGCCTGCACGGTTTTAGGGAGAAAACAGAAGTGTTTCGACGCAAAAATTCGCGCAATGCTTCATTCTTTTGGGCTGCAAGATAACCGTCAGACCACCTCTCGATGAATGAGAACGCCGTCAGGAAAAGCGCCGCGTCGTTTCAGAGCAGACATGCGAACAGAAGAGCCGAAGAACTACGGCGAAGCTTGGCGCCCCTCAGCACCTGCCCTTGTACTTGCAGCGGTAGTGTTTCTTTCTGGAGCCGGAGCGGGAGCGTGATTTGGAGCCGGAGCGAGAGCCGGAGCGAGAGCCGGAGCGAGAGCCGGAGCGAGAACGGGAGCCAGAGCTGGAGTCAGAGCCGGAGCGTTTCCTGCAACGTCCGTTGCGTTTCCTGCCGTGACGACAGCGGCGGCGTCCCCGTCCGTCCGACGGCTGTGTTCCGAGGCAGTGCGGCCGGCCGTCTGCGGTCACCGTGCACTTCTGGCCGGGGCAGAGGTCATTACAGGTCACCCGGGATGCGACCCGCACCGGCACCGGCACCGGCACCACGTGCACCGGTTGCACCGGCACCGGCTGCAAATGAACCGGATTAGGATCGGGCACTACCGGAAGCGGAGGTGAAGGCGGAGGCCGGGGGCGGGGGCGGGGGCCGATGAAAAACGGGTACGGGCACGGGCACGGGCACGGGCACGGGCAACGGGACACTGCCGGGGCAGGGTCACGGACAAACACAGTCCGATCTCGCCCAGAGCCGCGGAAGCCGCAGTCTCCTGTGCAGCGGCACTTCGACTTGGATTTCGACTTGCGCTTGGACTTGGAGCGCTTGCAGCGCTTACCACTTCTGGTACGGCACCGGCATGGTCCACGATCGTCGTCGTCGAGGCGGGGAGGGACGCCGAGGCAGCGGATTCGGCCGTTCGTACTGACCGTGCACCTCTGACGCGGACAGTAGTCGTCACAGGTCGGCGGCGGTCGTGAGCGGAACCGAGCGACGCCAGCTGAAACAGACGCGCCGGGGGGTTCAGAGCAGTGTAAGGAAGGGGGGCCAGAGTAAAGCCAGTGGCCAGTCATATGAAGCCCAGGGAGTGGATGTAGAGCAGTCAGAGGGAGATCAGAAGGAGGTGAGGAGATGGGGGTCAGATAAGGCTCAGAAAGAAGCCCTGCAAGGGAAAAAACGATCAGAGAGACGTAAAATGGAAGTAAACGTCAGGGCAATGTTAGTGGGAGAGCAGGGAGAAGAGGCATCCAGCCCGCTGGGTCACCAGGCTTTGATGCGTTTCCGCTCAGTCTGACGCTGGGGCTGGCAAAACTGGTGGCTTTACGTCCAAATGCGAACATTTGATGACAAAGCGCAGCCCGTACATTTGAAAAATGTTTAAAAGAGAGCGTTTCCATTTATATACGGAATTTCGAAATGAAATAGCCATCGTGAATGCCTTTTAGACGTTGTCACAATCCTGCCCTTCTCAAAGGCCTAAGCCCGCTAGTTTCTGAGCTACACGCCCACGAAAATGGGGAGAGGTGTATCGAGGATAGTTTTCGAAGTCACCCTGGCAATCATGACGTCATATAACGTCATTCAAATCCTGCCATCCCATAAGCCACCCGACGATCAAGGCCATTGAAAACCTAGTTGTCGAGGCGTTCATATTGGTGTTCGTAAGCGCAATTTCCAGATCTAACGGCCCTCAGTTCGCTCGCAACCAATGTTGTGCAAGGTACGATGACATAATTAAACCACGGCGCGTTGAGCGACATATTTAGTAAACAGAGAAATGTGCAGTCTAGAGGAATTGTTTACGCTTAAAAGACATACCAGCAGTTACAGTTAAGACGATGTCTGATATAAAACGAATACATCACAATTTAAACGATATCTGACGCTTATGTTATCTCAAGAAGGTTCATACAAGAATGATGTGATGAATAACGATATAATGATATCATGATATCTCAAGAATGTACATATATCCCTTTAGAAGGAAAACGTTTTATACCCTTGGTTGTTGCAATGGTCAATGTAAGACTATCTGATGCCACGTAATATGGTATATAGATATTCCTATATATATATATATA